GTATGAGCCCTTCACCCTAAACCCTAAACCCTAAACCCTAAACCCTAAACCCGAAACCCTAAACCCCAAACCCTGACTTACACCGTCGGAAACCCTCACTGCCCTTGAGACCCAAGCGTTGTTCCCCCTCGCGACAGGGGATGCTGGTCTTGCTGCTTACCTGCGAAACGGGGCACCCCTGGCAGATTGGAGGGCCACCCTAAACTCTAAACCCTAAACCCTAAACCCTAAACCCTAAACCCTAAACCCTAAACCCTAAACCCTAAACCCTAAACCCTAAACCCTAAACCCTAAACCCTAAACCCTAAACCCTAAACCCTAAACCCCAAACACCCAAACCTCAAACCTCGAACCCCGAACCCATGCATCTCAAACCTTAGAACCTTGAGGGCTCCATGCATCCTGAAGCCCAATACGGGTGCACGAATGATGGGTTCCCCCGTCGGTTTGGAGTTTAGGGTTTAGGGTGTAGGGTTAGGGTTTAGGGTTTAGGGCTTCCCCCCACTAAGTTCCTCCCTTAAGTAACCTGAATTGGGCTGATGGGGACCTAGGGGGGGTAGTATCCTGTCCACGCCAGGAGCTCCTCAAGATCTATGCCAGCGAGTGCACCATTGCAGCGCGGAAGGCTTGGATCTAGGGTGTAGGGTTTAGGGTTTAGGTTTTAGGGTTCAGGGTTTTTCGAGGGGTTGAGGGGTTGAGGGGGTTGAGGGGGTTGAGGGGGTTGAGGGGGTTGAGGGGGTTGAGGGGGTTGAGGGGGTTGAGGGGGTTGAGGGGGTTGAGGGGGTTGAGGGGTTGAGGGGTTGACGGGTTGAGGGGGTTGAGGGGTTGAGGGTTTGTGGTTTACGGCTGACGGTTTGGGGTTTATGCCTCTGGGACATGATTTCTGAGTAGGTTCCCGTATGAAGCAGTGGTGGAGTATATCCCCGCGTAGGACCCAGATTGAGGTTGGGGAGTTGAGGGCTACAGGTCTGCGGCATGGGCTAGAGACCCGAAGCTTTTTCCAGAGCTCAGGGTGTTCTGGGACATGGGCCTAAGCCCTAAACCCTAAACTCTAAACCCTAAACCCTAAACCCTAAACCCTAAACCTAAACCCTAAACCCCAAACCCTAAACCCTAAACCCTAAACCCTGAACCCTAAAGCGCTGCCGGCCATGGAGCCCGACATCTCTGCGTGCTGTGACGCCCGTACGATCCTGATCTCTGGCATCCCCAAGTCCGGGCCTCTTGCTTTCACAGGGTATGGGTCCTAGGGATTGAGATAATATGCCCCCCCCCCCCCAGGCCTGGGCCCTAAACCTTTTGGTTGATGTATTATAAATAAAATTATACAAGTTGGATTTTCCGATATTTAAAAAACTATAAGCTTTGATTCTTTGGATGGTGGTGGTGGTGGTGGTGGTGGTGCTGGTGGTGGCGGTGGTCCCTCCCCCACACACCCATCAGCCTTCTGCCTGCGTGCCCGGCGTTCCCAAGGAAGTCGACCCTGGCGGATCGGATCTGTCGACAGTTGTCGGAGCTTGGAAACCCGATGGCATGTAAAGTTGAAGGCTTTTCTTGGGGGCAAGGGGAGGGGAACCCCTAAACCCTAAACCCTAAACCCTAAACCCTAAACATTAAACCCTAAACCCTAAACCCTAAACCCTGAACCCTGAACCCTGAACCCTGAACCCTGAACCCTAAACCCTGAACCCTGAACCCTGAACCCTAAACCCTAAACCCTAAACATCAGATTCTAAATCCCATCCCAACATCTCCACAGCGCGGGCCGAGGAGAGGGAGCGCGGGGCGACTACAGCCGGCAGCTGGGATAGTGTCAAGAAGGGTTTAGGGTTTAGGGTTTAGGGTTTAGGGTTTAGGGTTCCGGGCACCAGAGTCTGGATAAAATGATCGTCCTTTTTTCGAGTCCTCAAGATCCCCCTGGTTAAGGAGTAGGGCTTAAAAGAAATTTTGGGGCCCTTAGTATGATTTAAGGTATTCTCATTGAATTAAGGGTGTTCTTGGCCCCCTTGGGTCTGTTAAGGGTGTCAGCAAAAGCCCATGCCTCAGATGTCTCCCCCATTTCGAATCCGTGTCGGCCGCAAACTTGAACCCGACAGCCCATGTGCTTTTCCCCTACTTGATGATGTAGCTTTCGTTGAGTCAGTGAAGTTCCTCAGCAGCAGGCCTAAACCCTAAACCCTAAACCCTAAACCCTAAACCCTAAACCCTAAACCCTAAACCCTAAACCCTAAACCCTAAACCCTAAACCCTAAACCCCTAAACCCCTAAACACCTAAACCCTAAACCCTAAACCCTAAACCCTAAACCCTAAACCCTAAACCCTAAACCCTAAACCCTAAACCCTAAACCCTAAACCCTAAACCCTAAACCCTAAACCCTAAACCCTAAACCTTAAACAGGCAGACGAAGCTAGAGGTCTGGGGTCCGACCGTGGCCCGCATCTACCAGGATCTGGGACGAGTCTCCAGTCTAGGGTTTAGGGTTTAGGGTTTAGGGTTGAGGGTTTAGGGTTTAGGGTTTAGGTTTAGGGTTCAGGGTTCAGGGTTTAGGGTTTAGGGTTTCGGGTTTAGGGCAGCACAGCGTCGCGCGATGCAAGTTTTTTTGGGGGTGCAAGGTTCCATGACTGTCCTATGGCTTTGCAGACTTGGCAGCCGACTTTAGCCCATGAATCCCTTCCATATTAGCTCTTTGCGGGTTTGATTAGGAAGTAGGGTTTCGGGTTTAGGGTTTAGGGCGGCTGGACAAGTAGGTGGATGGTTCCAGCAGGGCGCTTCCTGTTCAAAACCCCTCCCCTCCGCAGAGACCGAAGCAACCACACACAGATCCTCACCGTGCTCAAACCCCGAGTCCCCCACAGCCCCTGAAAGGCATCAACCCTACTTTCCTAAACCCTACTTTCCTAAGCCCTAAACCCTAAACCCTACTTCCTAAACCCTAAACCCTAAACCCTAAACCCTAAACCCTAAACCCTAAACCCTAAACCCTAAACCCTAAACCCTAAACCCTAAACCCTAAACCCTAAACCCTAAACGCCAAAGAGCCGAAGGACGGCTTCCCTTGCGGGCCTGCGGGCGAGATGACCACAGAGAGGACCGCCCCGGAGTTTCGGGCTTGGGGTCCAAGGTTTTGGGCTCTTGGGGTTTAACCCTAAACCCTCAAGCCCTCAAGCCCTCAAGCCCTCAAGCCCTCAAACCCTCAAACCCTCAAACCCCTCAACCCCTCAACCCCTCAAACCCTCAAACCCTCAAACCCTCAAACCCTCAAACCCTCAAACCCTCAAACCCTCAAACCCTCAAACCCTCAAACCCTCAAACCCTCAAACCCTAAACCTTAGGGCTTAGTTGTGGCGTTTCTTCAGGATGCTTAGGGGTAAGAGTTGGTTGACGTCAGGGGCTGGGCGCCCTGAACCCTAAACCCTAAAGTCTTGGCCGCGAGCGCGACCTAGTCGCGAAGCGGCCACGCGACGATCAGGAGCCGTCAAGACACACCACTGCACAGGGTGAAGCCTCTGCAGCCTCTCATCCTAGGCAACCTCAACCCTGCACCCTAAACCCTCGGCCCTAGGTTCAGAATAAGTCCCTTTCCACCTCCGGCCTGGAGCCCCCACAACCCTTGGCTCCCGTAAGCTCTCAAGCTCTTGCTCGCCTTCAGCCCTTAAGGGTTCAGGGTTTGGCTCTGTGGTTCATGGTTAGGGTTTCGGGATAAGACCTGAAGGTTGTAGGATTTAGCCGCCGAGAGCCAGGAGCTTCCGATTTCCAGAGCTCCTGCAGGCGGTTGCCACGGCCCAGCTGTCTTTCCGGCACGTGGCATCTCGGTGAGGTAGCCCAAGCCCCATGCCCTAAACCGCTTTGAACTTGTGAGCCTGGACCTAAACCCTAAACCCAAACCCTAAGTTCTAAAAGCCCTAACCACTAAACCATGAGCCCTAAACCATATAAGCCCTAAGCCGTAGCAGCCTCAAGCCTATACCCGAAACCTGCTGCATGGTAAATCCAGCACCAAGAGAAGCCCTAAGCTATATCCCCCTTGGGGAAGCATTTTTATTTTTGTTTATATGAAACCCAACAGGATATTAGCAGAATTATCTTTATTAAGGTTCTAAGGGGAGTATAGTGAGGTGGTCGAGGGCCACCGCATCTTCGGCTGCGCGGAGCTCCTGGAAAAAGCCAGCTTGGTTTCTTGGAAAAGGAGTTTAGGGTGTAGGGTTTAGGGTTTAGGGTTTGGGATCCAGGGTCGTGTCCAAACTCCCTTTGTGTCCTTCAAGAGAACTTTCAAGTTTTTGGGTTTCCGGAGATTTGTAGGAAGAATAAGAAGCTCAACCGCTTTGTGTTTTATTGCTTGGGCATTGGAGAAGTAAGGTTCTGTTCCTTCTGCTCCCGAAGGATGTTGCGAGAACGCGACGGCTGTCGAAGCAGAAGAAGAAGAAAGCTCGGACCCTCAAACTGCCCAGGTACGCAGCAGGGTGACATATTTTAGAGTTCCGGGTTTGGGTTATAGGCATAGGGTTACCGAAGCCAGAAGCCCTAAACCCCAAACAACGAGCCGTGAGCCCTAAGCCCTAAGCCCTAAGCCCTACGCCCTACGCCTTAAGCCCTAAGCAAAAAAAACCCTAAACCCTAAACCCAACGCTCAAGCCCAAACCCAACCCTCAGCTGGCCCTCCCTCAATGGGCTTTTCAAGCTTCCAAAGTTACATGTGTAGTTTTCGACATTTAGGGTCCCCTTTTCTGATCCTTCTTTTAAGGGTGCCGAATTAAATTGGGGACCCCCTAAGCCCTAAACCCTAACCCCTAAACCCGAAACGCTAAACCCTAATCCCTAAACCCCAAACTCTAACCCTAAAACCTAAACCCTAAACCCCAAAATAGGTGACCCGAATTTTGCGAGCTTAGGATTTCCGAAGAAGGATTCGAGCTTCGGTGGGCTGCCCATGTGGACTACTTTCAGAAGAGCTGGGAGGCTTCTTGGTCAGTTTAGGGTTTAGGGTTTAGGGTTTAGGGTTTAGGGTTTAGGGTTTAGGGTTTAGGGTTTAGTCAATTGTCCCTTGTTGGACACCCTAAACAATAGGGGGCCGCCTTTGAAAAAATTAGCCCCAAAAAGGGACAGAAGTGAGCCCTAAGATCTTAGGGCTGAGGGGGTTTCGGAACGTAGGGCTTAACTTTGGGTTTCCACACATGTCTCATCCCTAGCAGTTAGCACCAGATTACCAATCCCGGCCCCGTCCCCAAAACTGGTACCTGGAGGCCTGTCGCCACCTCCAGCAGCGGCCTCTGGGCATCGTCTTCGTTGATGGCGATTGCGATCTCGAGGTGGCGCGAATCGAGGATCATGTTCAGTCTTGCCTCCAGATGATGGATGCAAGGCCGGGCGTGCCTCTGTGAGCCTCAGTCCCTAACCTTAAACGATGTGGGGGTTTAAGAGAATAAGGGACCCCTGATATAGACCCCCAAGTAGTAGGATTCCCTGATAGTAAGGTACCCTTAATTGCGGGGAAAACCCCCATGTAAGGATCCTTGAAACAGACTAAAGTATATTCCTTGATTAGAGGCTCCTGGGCTCTGGGCAAGGCCAGTTTTCGTGGGATGTCTCTCCCTCGGCTCCAGCACGGATGGGGTTACAAGGGCGTGCTATAAAAAAGTTATAAAAGTTTCCCATCGTGGTTGTTTATAGTGGGGAAAGAAGGCTGGCTTCGTTTAGCGCTTCAGGGCACAGGGGTTAGGGCCAATACCCCTTAACTAAGGAAGATTCCCTTAAAATCATGCTCGGGTTCCTTGTATGGTGTAAGGAATATTTCTTAATTATGTAAGGGGTATTGGAGTGTCTGGGGGCAGGCAGTCTGGAAGCACAAAGACCCCACGGTCGACTGGAAGTTGGGCAGTGCGAGCTGGCTCGACATTTCGCGTGCGGCGGTGGAGCAAGCTACTTCGTCTCAAGTACCAGGCGTGCTGCCTTCGACGGCGGAGACTGCGGAATGAGGACCAAGGTGCAGGGAACAGGGTGAACAAGGCTCCGCAGCTTTTGGACGGAGAGAGAGTGTTAGACAGCTTCCGGGAGCCGTTGCTTCACATGGTCACCGTTGGGCTGGTTGACTCGATCCCGGAGATGCACGGGAGCGGATGCTGTCGCTTTGTGATCTGCGCGTGAGTGGTGCGAGGGTGAACGAAGATGTCCCTTTGCTGCGCAAGGTGCAATCTGGCAATCTGCAACTTTAGTGTCAAATCCTGGGGAAGGGAGAATCTTCTCCGGCTACGACCTGGAGAAGAATGCCGCCTTCGAGCTTGTCCCTCGCTTAATCGGCCGCAAAGGCGACACCATGAAGAACATCCAGAATGAAACTGGGGCCAGCGCACGCGTTTGTGGTCGCGGGAGTTGCTGGAAGACCGTCAAGTCGCCCCATGAACCGCTCCAGTTGGCTGTTTCGTGCCTTTCGAGGGAGACCAGGAGAGCGGCGTCTCTGGGCTTGATTGGGAAACAAGTTTTAAAGTATAAATCTATAAAGTCTTCATGCAAACCCTTCATAGCCATATAGCCCAAGGAAACTCAGTTTGCATAGGGACCCCAACTCCACCCAGGTCCAAGAAGACAATGGTGCTGGTGAAAGGCATCACGCAGCACTTCCGGCAGACGAGCCGAGGGCTGCGCCCTAACGACTTCGATGGAAGGGATGACACTTTGCAGGCCTTGCAGAAGCCACTTGATCGAACATGTACCATTGTAGAAAATCGTACAACATAGTACAGAACAATGAGTATAACTTCGCACTTTCGGTCCCTTGCAGGACTGTCATCATGGGCGGCGCCGCCGTGAGGGAGGCCGTCCACTGAAGCTCAAGAGCCATCCGACTGATGGGCGCTCAGCGCCTTGGATCCGAGTAGCTGTCAAGGGGTTAGGGTTTAGGGTTTACGGTTTAGGGTAGTTTAGCGCCACACAGAATGGGCAGTTTTCGGGGGCTCGAGCCTAGGTATCCCGTCACCGACTATGTGCCCCTCTGACGTGTTGCGCGCTTGCGGGCAGAAGACCTAAGTGACTTTTCACACGTGCTGAGACGCCTGACTCCTTGATGCCGGCATCTGTTCAACAGGTCAAAGCTAGGATGTCTACACCTAAAAGAGCTTGCCAAGGCTTCTTGAGCCTTGCGCAGGCAGAAGCAAATCGAGCGATTTTGAGCAGAGGTGTTTCGATACATGTCGAAGCATTTCGAAACAAAACGAGACATAAAGAAGCACAAAGACACAAGTTGATGTTCATTTTGCCTTCTTATGCCTCGAGAAGCTTCTGGGTGCACTTACCACTGCTGGGCCCAAAATAGCCCAAAAGCTATCTTTGTTCTGGGGGCCGGGGGGTCGGGCGGCGGGGGGGGGGTCTAAGAAACCTGTTCGTGAGTTCCGGGCTCATTAAAAGGGAACTGGTGTGAGAACCCTTCTTAACGGAATCCCACGCACATGATCCTTGATATCCCTTGTAGTTGTAGTCAATAAGCATTCTCCCTTTCAGGTGGGCTAAGGGTGCCCAGGTTTGGGGTTATCAAGGGACTAAAGGAGGGACCCTTATCAGGGACTATATAAGGTATGTATATATATATATATATGTAGGGGTTATATGGGGGAATAAGATTAAGGGTCCCTTCTAGGGGTCTCCTAAACCCTAAACCCTAAGCTCTAAACCCCCAACCCGAAAAAGTTAGGGTTTCTGTGGCCAGGTGAATCAGCTCGTCGAGCGCTGCCTCTTAGAGGCCGCAGAGGTCTCCAGAACGTTTTCAGGGGTAGGGTTTAGGGTTTGGGGTTTAGGGTTTAGGGTTTTGGGGTTTACGGTTTAGGGTTTGGGGTCTAGGGTTCAGGGTTTAGGGCTTAGGGTTTGGGGTTTAGGGCTGCTTTCGGCTGACTTCTTCGGTTTCAAGGCTCCAGTCGCTATTCTAGCCGTTAGGCGTGAGAGTCAGGACATTTTGCCCGCTACTGGTACCTACAACGACGAAAGCCAACGACAAAACCTGAAGAGCTGGAGCCTCTAGCTCTGCCTCCCCCCCCCCCCCCCCCCCCGTAATATGTTCAACCCTAAGCCCTAAACCCTATAAACCTCAAACTCCAAACTGGAGACCTCAAATCCTAATTTTTTGTTCAACCCTGAACTAACCCTAAACCCTAAGCCTTGTAAACCTTAAACTCCAAACTGGAGACCTCAAATCCAAAACCCTCCAACTCCCCAGTCTCTCTCGGAAATTGCGTCAGCACCCCAAGCAACCAATATGGCAGACCCCTGAAAAGGCCCCCCAGCCCCCCCTGCCCAGAAAAAGGAAACTGAACTCCACCAACACACCTCCAAATACCTCTCCAGATGCCCGGAGCGCTTTCAATCAGTACTCTTAGGCCCTGAAGTTACTTAGGTGGGTGAGGGTGGTGCTGGTAAACTACCCCTATGCCAACCTACTGCAACGTGCATCTTCAAAGCGTTGGGGTTTAGGGGTTTAGGGGTTTAGGGGTTTAGGGGTTTAGGGGTTTAGGGGTTTAGGGGTTTAGGGGTTTAGGGGTTTAGGGGTTTTGGGGTTTTGGGGGGGTTTAGGGGTTTAGGGGTTTAGGGGTTAGGGGTTTTAGGGGGTTAGGGTTAGGGGGTTTAGGGGTGGTTTAGGGGTTTAGGGTTTTGGGGTTTTGGGGTTTTGGGGTTTTGGGGTTTTGGGGTTTGGGGTTTTGGGGTGGGGTTTGGGGTTTGGGGTTTTGGGGGGTTGAGGGGTTGAGGGTTGAGGGGTTTAGGGGTTTAGGGTTTAGGGCTTTAGGGGTTTTTAGGGTTTAGGGTTTAGGGTTTAAGTTTAGGGTTCGGGGTGTACTAAGGTTGCCTATGAAAAGGCGCATAGTAACCATGGCTGTGTGTTGTAGGGGTGTCACTTTGCCAGCCTCTGAGCCCTAAACCTCAAACCCCAAACCCCAAACCCCAAACCCCGAACCCCGAACCCCCCAAACCCCAAACCCCAAACCCCAAACCCCAAACCCCAAACCCCAAACCCCAAACCCCAAACCCCAAACCCCAAACCCCAAACCCCAAACCCCAACCCCTAAGCCCTAAACCCATTACCTCGATCCGTTCAGGGTGTAGGGAAATAGGGTAGAAGTAGTTTGATATTCACGGCAACTATACTCATAAACCGCCATTTAAGGTACTTACAGCCCTACTTATAACTTCTCATGAGCCTTTAAGCAGCCCTAAACACTAACCCCTAAGCCCTAAACCCTAAGCCCTAAACCCTGAACCCTGAACCCCGAACCCCTTCAAGTAGGGTTCAGGAACCCCAAGCTGCCCTGCTCCCCATCCCAAGCTGCGTGGCCTGAGAACATCGGATGAGGGTTTAGGGTTTAGGGTTTAGGGTATAGGGTATAGGGTATAGGGTATAGGGTTTAGGGTTGTTGAGCCTCCCCTCCAAAACTTCTTGGGCCTAGGGCTTTGGGGCTTCAAGCGGTTGGAGGGTCAAGGGATTCAGACCTAAAGGTTCCCCTGAATATACTCCTAATATGGCTCTCACATTCCTTAGGGTCTAGGGTTTAGGGTTTAGGGTTCAGGGTTTAGAGTTTAGGGTTTAGGGATCCTTGAAAAGCAAAACCCGAGGGTACAACCTGAAGGGTCCAAGGTAGAACCCCTAGAATGCAGGACAAGAAGGAGACCTTCTACATCGAGGTGCTGCCCCGCCATCCCCCCTTTAGCTTTAAATCCTCAACCCTCAACCCTCAGCCCTAAACCTTAAACCACCCTAAACCCTAACCCTGGACCCTAGGCCCTAAAACCTAAAAACCTAAACCCTAAACCCTAAACCCTAAACCTGAACCCTAGGCATTTGGCTGCCAGCAGTGCACGTGCATCAGGATGGAGTGTTTGTGGTTACGAATGTTTCTTCTAGGGTCATTTAGGGCCCTTTTCGTCGTTAATGCTTTTCAGGGTAGGGAGCTGCACAGGCAGGTTACACCGCCGAAGAGCGGAATAGAACCGAGTGCAGCCATGTCCAAGCCTACCAGCGCTGCCCAGCAAGCCGAATTGGCGCTGTCCACACAGGCGTACACCGCCCAGAGGCAGCTGGCGACGTCGGAAGTTTTCGCCGCGCAGCAGCGGCTCTGGATGGAAGAGAGGCGCAGGGGCCCACCATCCACGACGATCTCCTCGCTCAACACGCCGGCCGAAGACGAGGAGATGCAGCAAGAAGCAGGGCCATCGCGCCAGGCTACACCGCAGCCGGCCACATCGCTCTTTCAGCCCATCCCGGTGGAGGGTCAGGCCGCCTTCAGTATGACAGCTGCGCAAGCGGGGGTGGATATCAACGACCACACCGCCGTTCGCAACTACATGAGCGAGAAAGTCACCACCAGACAGCAGGTCCTGGAAACCATTCGCAACTATCATGTTGGAGTAATCCGCCCCGAAGTTTACCACCTGATCAGCCAGGTCGAGCTTGTCATCGCGGGCCTGGACGACCGACTGGTTAAAACGCAGGACAATCTCAACTGGATGGTGAGTGACAACCGTGCGCAGCAGAAGAGAGAAGCAGGGCTCATGGTCGTTCTCACCGGCTTCGACCCGAAGATGGACCCTACGCAACGGCTCGAACACATCAACTGGATGATGGGGCAGGTGGAAGAGATCAAGCAGTTCCTGGTCCAGAGGATGTACAACGCCTCGGACCAGGTCCGTCTGTGGTTTCTGCAGGCATTGCAGACAGACCCCAGTACACCGCCGGCCGGGGAAGGGAAGTGGTCGACGGTTACAACGCTCCAGTTCAAGGCCTGGGACCTGCGCCGCGCCTTCATGACTGCATATGGGGGAGGAGGAGGTACACCGCTTTGGGGCCCGCAAGGGCCAGTCAAGGGCTTCCACATCCGCTGTACACCGTCGTCGCCGCAATTTCAGCGCAAGCTGGAGCTACCAGTGAGAGCGATTCTCTTCATGCTTAATAAGCATGCGGAGATGAAGTCTACACCGCCCAGTCCAATGTTGATTTTGTGGCGGACCCTTACCCTGATGCACCCGGATTGTGGCCGCGAATTTGACGAAAGGGCCACAGCCTGGGCTCGCATGATTTATTTCACCCAAAATGGGGAATTCAGGGGAAGGCTCGAAATCACTGCTGACCTGGCGGATATCGTCAAGGCTAAACCGCCGGAGGACGCAGA